TTTATAATAAAAGATCTCCTTAAGTTCTACTCTTTACCTTCCTGGTTTTCAAACTATTTGTGTATATGGACAAAAGATTTTTAGGAATACCTTATCTTTTACTGCATTAATCATTATTCTCTCACTCTCAGGCTTATAACCACTTTAATTAAAGCCTTTCACCTCCACCTGTCTTGTGCAATCTCCTTCTACCTTGCTGCATCTTCATCTATCCCTTCCAGATCAGTTTTTGTTATCTTCCCATTGTTGCCTTGGTCTACCTCCAGTTTTGATACCCTCCACCTCAGCTTCCAATCTACCTCACATGATTTCTGTCATTAGTTTTCGCGATATGCCCTGCCCATTTTATTCTCTGTGCTCTCATCTTGCTCCAGACATCGGGTCTTTTGTACAAGTCCAAAAGCTCTTGATTATGTCTTCTCCTCCATACTCCATTTTCTTGTGCTACACCAAATATTTACCTTAGCACTTAGTTTTCATATACTTTCAGTCTTTTTTCCATTTGCCTTTGCCTTTCCAAAGACATTCCCACTTTGATTTAGTGAAGTGGCTAGCATGTCTCCTAAACCCCAGGAGCTAAGTCAATGATAGTCTGGCCTCCTAAGCCAAACAGACAGAAGGGTAGAGACCAGACTAAGAGAAATACCCTAGTCCTCCAGGACAGGTTTTGAAAATGAGGCCAACAGCCTCATCCTATTAAAAAAAAAACTAATATTATGAAACCCAAACTAAAGTCTTGGGCATCATTATATAACACACTAATAATCTGATGTAGAAGTGTCAACTCTCATAGATCAACTTTCTGCTGACCCTCACTCATATGATCTCTATAGCTGTTGTTATCAGCAGGCTTGGCATGATTTGATTTTTATCAATAAACTAGATAAACATAGATTTCACGCCACACTCACAGACTAATGGAAAAACATTTCCATCAGTAATAATCAACAGTTATAGAAAGGGGACTGTAACAGGGAACCCTAGCCCCTGTCACTAGACCGTAGAGAAAGAAAGACAGAGGGAAA